GTCTCTGGACTCGGGGCCATAAGATTTGTCTATTAATCCATTTCATCACATGACTTTAGAGATTTAAGAGCCAAAAGGAGAATAAACAAACATCAGTGATGTATGTTGTACAGTTACTAATAACTCATTTTGAGTTTTTCTTTTTTCTTTTTTTGGTCTGATCTTAGTGTGACTGCTGTAGATTTTTTTTTTTTTTTAATAATAATTCTGTCACACTCAAGATCATTGGTTTTAAACTTTGCTTGTCATCATTACAAATATTCCTTTATGTTAATATTTTTAAGTAAAAATATGAAAAGAGAAACCTGTCGTCTCGAGTGTTGGTTGTCTGGACTACTTTCTGCATGTGTACGTAATGGCCACTAGATGGCAGGAAATATCCTTTTTTTTAAAAAAATGTTTATATGACAACGGATCAGTTGTGGTTGTCGAGCGAATCTGTTTTTAACCAAAACTAATGAACTAAAGGCTAAGGTAACTGTTTAATGACATTGAGAATTGGATCTATTTACGTCAGGTCACCAGTAATTAACTAATTAACCCACCAGTGCAGTGGTTACAGCTTTGATGGGGCTGTAATCCATGACAAAGTCAGTGTGTAACAACAGCAGTCATACTTCACTGATGTGTTTTAACTCACACTGACTTGATGTCGACACTTTGGGGTTTTTAAATTTATTTTATTTATTTAACGTCATCCGTCCTTTGGTCTGGTGTAAAATGCCAAAGGTGAACATGAGGTTTTTGTTGTTTTTTTTTGACAGTGACTGACAGTACGTGGAGTCTCTGTGTCTGAGGAGACGGGGCGACACGGTGACAAAGACACAGTTATGTGAAAGCCTTGTTTTTGTGGTTGGCTAATAAAACAGATGAGCTGGCAATCAACTGAAACCACAGTCGTCGTCTCAGGTTCAGATGTGTTTGCAGTCGATGCTGACACGTCCAACTGTGGCACTGAAATGAAATGATTTGTTGTTTTAAAAAAAACAAAGAAAAAAAACTTGTTTATACTGTCGAGTTGGTGTGAAGAGGGGAAAACGTTTTTTTTTCTGTGTGAAGAACAATGTCAGTGGTGTTAACGTGCCAACGTCTGACAGCTTTTAAGAACTGCCTGTTTCTGTTATGTGTTAATGTGATTTTGGTTTTGTTTTTGCTGTGATTTTAACTGTAACTTTTATGCAACAATTTTTCATTAACTGTAACTTTTATGCAACAATTTTCCCTTTTTCTCACCATGTTTTAAAGGAAACTGGTTCATTTTAACACTCAGTACTGAACAAAAACTAAGTATATTTTACCTAAAGTGCTCAAAATAACCATTCAAGTTTAATGCAAGATGAACTGTTTCCCAGAGAGACAATATTATGGTGATATCTAAGTCAATAATTCTGATTTTGTGTGTGTTTTTGGACTACTGTATATTGAATTGGTTGGTCCAGGAGGACACATCTGTGACGTCCACCGTCCTCCTGGACTAAATCCCAGCTGGATTATCGTCACAGTCAAAGCTCTGATCACATCTGATGTTGTGAAGAATTGGAAACGACTCCTCTGTTCGGGCTGTGATTTATTTCCCCCTCTTCACTTCACCGTCGGTCAGTTTGTCCTCCGCGGGCAAATATATTCTCAATGCCACAGATTAAGTCCTGTGACGCGTGTATTTGCATATAAATGGACTGTTTAGAACCCGGGTTCAGACGGACCCCGGTTGGGACGGTTGTTATTTGTGAACCACCAACTGACACGAGGGAAGTGAAGAGGACTAACAGCCGTGTGTGGAATACAAACTGTGGATTTTGTGAAAGGAACAAAAAAAAGTCTATTTTTATTTTATTAACCTTAAGTTTGAAAAATAATATATTTCACTTTTGGTGAAAAATGTTATTGTTTAGAAACCGAGGATAAGAGGAAACCATTCACATGTAAAATGTTTTATTGTTATTATTAATGTTGTGTATTTTTATATATGTATGTATATATATTTATATACACACATATATGTCTAAATATGTGTGTATATTTATATATGTATTTATGTCTAGCCTTGTAAAGTCACATTCATCTGTTTGTTTGTTTTTTTTTTCTTTTCCAAAACTGTAAGAACATTTGAACGTGACTCGTCCTCAGACGAGGTGAAGGAACCTGGTGTGAGTGACTTCCCTCAGGACTGAATGAATATTAAACATGTCAGATCATCATCACTGTCTGACTGTCGGTGCTCACTGAGGGTCCCTCGGTCTGGAGTCTGTGGTTTTAATGGGTGAACTAGTCCTTTATTCTGAGCTGTTGGACTCGTTCATCCATAGATGTGTTTTCACCAGGACCGTGTGATGTGATGAGCAGCAGAATATTCTGACCTGACCTGACTGGAGTTTGACATCACTTTGTGAGAAACACTTGAGTTTTAAAGAGAAAAAACAAAAACATTTTAGACACAGGATCAGTCTTTGATGTTTTATTTATTTATTTTGTCTGTCTTTTTCCACAGGACACCTCTGTTGTACGCCCGGTGCTAACGTGAAAATGTGCAGCTGTAATGAGGACGAGTTGATGGGAGAGCGCGGCGGGTCAATTATCTCAGCTGGACCCGCTCTGAGCAGCAGGCAGTCGAGCTGAAGTGACAGTCGTCAGGACTCCGACGTCAACATCCGTCAGTCCACCGAGGCAGAAGGGTGAGGAAGAGGAGGAGGAAGAGGAGGAGGAAGAGGATGGGGGTAAGACTTTATTGTCTTTCATGATGGTTTGACACCGTGTCGCTGCTAATGGACCAGGATGTTGTGAATAATGAAATCAGCTCAGAGATCCTACCATGAAACATTCATATGAGCAGGAAGAGGAGGTCACACACTCTCACACACACACACACATTTTGTCGTGTTCACAGTTAAAAGCCTGAGCTGAAGAATTGATCTGTGTATGAAATGAAAGTCACGTCATGTTGAAGATGTAAAGGATTAGTTGACTTTCTGCTCACATGGAGCGTGACTGTGTGCTTACCTCAAGTCCTCTCTTATTTTTTATTTTTTGTCTGTTTTGACAAATGATCCCAAACTGATCCCACGTAGAAAGGCTGCGTTAAGGAGAAGCATGTGTTTGTGGTTTACACAAGAAAAACAGTGCTTATAACCATGGAAGCAGGTTTTTTTTTTTCTGTTTCACCATCTGGATCGTGTGTAAAATGGAGGAGAAAAAAAAAAAAAGTCGTCCGTTATTGATCTCTCATCTATAGGCAGTCGTGGAGAACGTGCTGGTGCTGGTCGTCGGGCGTGAGAAATTATTCAGACTCAGTTTACAGCGAGACTGTTTGGACCGGTGCCTACAGTAGAACCAGGTCTGCTGGCAGATCTGTCAGTGAGAACATTATAGAACATTTGGAATTGATTCTCTGACGGAGGAAAGACAGGAGCAACAGGCTGAACGGAAAAAAAAGAAAAAGAAAAAAAGAGAAACGTCAACTTTAATGTTTCTCTGTTTTCTCAGCTATTTTGGAAAAAACAAACTCTCAAACGTACAGCTTTATATGTTTTATGACAGGTCAGTGGATGAGTGGTTAATGCTGCTGCCTTACAGTGGGAATGTCAGGGATCTGATCCCTGCTGTAGTACTTCTGTAGTAGTACTGTAGTTTTACTGAAGTACTTCTGTAGTCGTTGAAAGTTGTACTGTGTGGACGTGGGTTTGTTTTTTAATTGCTATCAGTGTGAATGTGAGTGTGATGCCCCCTGTGGTGGACTGGTAAACTGTCCAGAGTTTTCCACAACCATGGAAGCCAAAGATTCCTGTGATTCCTTTTTTTTTTTGGAAAAAAAAACCCTAAAACAAATGACAGTATATTTCACAGAAACTTAAATTTGGAGCAAATATTTTGTAAGAAACTAATCTAATAAGTAACATATTCAACATAATCAAATAATTGATTTTAATAAGGAAGTAATCGAGAATAAAACAAATGACAAAAACAAACAAAAAACACACAATTATTAATTTAATAGATTTATGAATACATCATTAATACACAGACACAGTCCAGGTAGATATTACTGCCTCCATACAGTGTATTGTATATTAACATGTTTTCTAATTAGGCTTTTAGGTCAGTGGCGAGGGCGGGGGGCGGGGGGGT